GTCGTCGTCAAGGGAGGGGCGGGGCGCGCCTGGCGAGCTGAAGGGGTCGGCCCCTCGCAGCAACAGCCGCACGACCCTGGACCTTCCTGCTGCCGCCCTGGCCCTTGCTCTTCGAGTGGGCGAGCAACGACATATGTACACGTACGCCCTCCGCGGTCTTGCCTGTACGAACGTCCGCGTTGCCACGCACTCCAAAGGAAGCTAACCGCGTACGTGTACATATGTTGCTGGCCTCTGATCGAGGGCTCGGGGGGGGGGGCAGGCGTAGAAAGACCCGCGACGTCGGAGGTACGGGCAGGAGCAGGCACAGGAGGAACTCGACCACAAGAAACCTTCCACAGGCACATCCCCGCGGGTGGGCGCGGGTGTCGGGTGGGGGCGGGTGTCGGGTGGGCGAGTTCGAGTTCGAGTTCGAGTTCACCACAGGTGAACTCGAACTCGAACACAAGAAACCCTTCCACAGGGGAACTCGAACTCGACCACAGGCACAGGAGGAACTCGACACCCAACCCTGAACCCTGGGGATGTCCTTTCCTTTTCTGCATGGGAACTCCACGCGTTCCAAAGCAAAACCATCGAAACCAAAGAAACCCAGGGCACCCTGGGGTGTTTCCTGGCATGGGCTTCCGCTGTGCGAGGGACACAAGGGGGCGCGCAGGAACAGACTCGCAGTGTCGGTGGCGCTCGGAGGAGCGGAAGTGGGGTGCACAAGATCTGGCCCCCGAAGTCGGCGCATCCCCTCAGAATGTAGGCTCCAGCCCCCCGAGGATGGTACAGGCTGACCGGACAATCCCCAGCGACCGCAGGGAGAGAGTGAGAGACTGACTGGCACGGTGGAAACTAATCCCGAGCAGAACGGGTCCTGGAACCTGGGGCTTTTCACGAGGAGGAGGAGGAGGAGGAGGAGGAGGAGGAGGCGGAGGAGGAGGAGGAGGAGGAGGAGGCATCGTTTTCTGACAGTCCCGTGGCCCGTGGAGGGCCCCGAGGGCCCGGAAACGGCGGAGAATCTCAGGACCCGTTTCCCTCGGGACCCGCCTCCCCCGTGGCGAACTGAGGGGGTCGAAGCGATCGTGGAGAGGGTCGGACGACCATGTCTGAAATCGGGCAGCGCTCGATGGTAAGATAAAGCCTCCACAAAAATACTGCGCGCATTCCCAGAAGACCCGTGGGGACGATTCGGACCCAGGCATTCAGCGCCTTGAAAACATCGAAGCGGCCAAACCGTCGCCGTCTTTGGCCAGTGGGGGGGTCAGTTTCGGGCTTCGGGACCGTCAACAAAACTACTCGGGATGAAACACGCGGGTTGGGGAAGGGGTCGAGAGGTCAGGGCGGGGTCCACGCATCGAACCAGTCGACGCTCCAGATGTCTGGGGAGGAGAAGTGACCACTTCTTGGGCAGTTTCCTCGTCCCCAATCGCGTTGGATGAGGGGTTGCGCTCGGGTGCTCCAATAAAACATGTAGCTGTGGTGATTTCCAGCTAGGCTCCTCGGGGGTGCCCCCTTCCCGTTCCCCAGAGACGCCAACCTCCGTTCCTGGATCATCTCAATTCTGCAAATTAGCCTGGTGAGGGACCCAACCAGGCGCAGCTGCGATTCACGCAGGGTGTGACCACCTCCTCGTAGTGCGCCGCGGGAAGGATGGGGCACGAGACATGCGGATGGGGGCCACGAAAAATGCTGGGGCAGACGCATGCGAACGTCGCCACTAGGGCCTTCGGTGGAGGACCCTATGGGGCCACGAACCGTCTGAGAGGTGTGCCGTAATGTTTGGTCGACACGCATGCGAACGGTTCCACTGGGGCCTGGGGCGGAGCTGCCTATGGAGTCACGAGCCGTATGAGAGAGCGGCGTCATGGGTTGGGAAAACGCATGTGGAAATCGCCACTGGAGCCTTAGGCGGAACTCCCTATGGTGCCACGGGACGTGTTAGGGGTGTGCCGAAAAGGGCGGGTGAGACGCTTGCGAAAGTCGCCATTGGGGCCTTTAGGCGGAGCTCAAAATGGGGCCACGAGCCGTGTGAGACGTGCGCCGTCATGGGCGGGGGAAATGAATGTGAACGTCGCCACCAGATCTTTTGGTGGAACCCCCAACGGGGCCACGAACCGTAGGTGCGCCGCAATGGGCGCGGGAGACGCATGCGAACGGTTCCACTTGGACCTGAAATGGAACCCCCTTATGGGACCACGAACCGTGTGAGAGGGCGCCATAACGTGCGGAAACGCATGTGAGCGTCGCCACTGGGGGCTTACGTGGAGCTCCCTATGGAACCACGAACCGTGTGAGAGGGCGCCGTAGTGTGCGGGGGGGCGCATGCGAACGTCGCCACTGGGGCCTTCGGTGGAGTTCCTCTATCCGGCCACGAACCATGTGAGGCGTGTACCGTAGGGCCGCATGCGAAAATCGCCAGTCGGGCTTTAGGCGGAGCTCCCTGTGGTGCCACAAACCGTATGAGGGGCATGCCGCAATGGCCGGGGAAGACGCATGCGAACAATTCCACTGGGGCCGTAGGCGGAGCTCCTTATTGAACCATGAATTGCGTGAGCGGTGCACCGTAACGGGCGGGGGAGGTGCGTGTGAGTGGTTCCACTGGGGCCGTAGACCCCTATGGAATCACGAACCGTGTGATGGGTGCGCCGTAATGGGCGGGGGGAGTGCGTGCGAACGGTTCCAATGGGGCCTTAGGCGGGGCTCCCCATGGAACCACGAACCGTGTGAGGGGTGTGCGGTAGTGTGCGGAGGGGCGCATGCGAACGTCGCCATTGGGGCCTTAGGCGGCGTTCCCCAATGGGGTCACGAACAGTGTGGGGTGTGTGCCGAGCTTGTTGGCATGCGGAGGGCAGGCGCAAGCATGGGGGGAGGGAGGAGGGGGGAGGAAGTGACGCGGGGCGCTGTCTCTTCAAAACGAAGACCCGACACCGCAGGATGGCTGGGGGGAAAGGAAACTCCAGGCGAAGCGCCGAAATGTAAGGGCAGCAGGACGCACATAGGCGCAGCCACAAGACAACCCAACGCTACGCACGCCAAACTCTGAAATAGCAGTACAGCAAATCGTGGAAATTCAACCAGTGCGTGCGAATGTAATACAGGCACGAGCTCTTCAACACATGCCGAGGTACACCATACAACGCAATGCAAAGCTTTGCAATTCAAAACAGCGTAAATCTAATCGATCAAGAACGCAGGGGAGCACCACGAAGGCAATGCAACACATACAATGCGCAAAACTGCGCTGCACTGCACTTCGCTGCCAAGCAATGCCGCAACATGCGACAATGTATTTCCTCCGCAGGTAGCGTATGCATAAAAAAAAGATGCCTGCGCCTCGGCCGGTTTGGGTGTAGCCTACGGCTTAGATTATGTGTGGCTTGCTCGCAATCGAAAAGCCTCGTAACTGGGATCGCGCAATAGTCATTCAATGTTTGTCCGTCAGCCCGTGGTCGGCCGAAGTACATCCAAGCGACACCCGAAACGCGCATGGGAGACAAGCGGGGGGTGCTATCGGGGCCAATGGCGGAAGGAACATCGCGGCGTGAGAGCTCCTGTGCCTCCTCCCCCTCCTCTCCCCTCCTCCTCCTCCTCCTCCTCCTCCTCCTCCTCCTCCTCCTCCTCCTCCTCCTCCTCCTCCCCCCCTCCTCCTCCTCCTCCTCCTCCTCCTCCTCCTCCTCTCTCCTCCTCCTCCTCCTCCTCCTCCTCCTCCTCCTCCTCCTCCTCCTCCTCCCTCCTCCTCCTCCTCCTCCTCTCCTCCCTCCTCCTCCTCCTCCTCCTCATATCATCCTCCTCCCTCCTCCGCCTTCCTCCTCCGCCTCCTCCTCCTCCTCCTCCTCCCTCCTCCTCCTCCTCCTCCTCCTCCTCCTCCTCTGCCCTCCTCTGCCCTCCTCCGCCCTCCTCCTCCATCCTCCTCCTCCTCCTCCTCTGCCCTCCTCCGCCCTCCTCCTCCATCCTCCTCCTCCTCCGGCCCGTTGGAGTGCCTTCCAGGTGGATGAGGACTTCCCCCTGGGCACCCAGGGGCCGCGGGGGAGGTCGAGGAAACCGTTCGTGACAGATTGATGGTCGCTGTCCCACGTGCAGGAAAATGCGAAGCCTTGGGGGCGGGGGGCGGTTCGACGTGTGGCCGCTTCTTGAGGCGCTGCCCCCAGGCTGTAAGGATGATGACGACGTCGGGCTGCGTACTCGCCTCCTGCATCATGCTGAGCAGCGAGAGAGCCAGCTGCCACTGCCCAGCTTTGTCGCACGCGCCGACACCAGCGTTGTATCTGACAAAAGCTTGCCCGTGGCGGCTTTCTGCCACTCGCTGCTGCGTGCTGCCGCTCGCTACACTTCATGCTACTTGTTGCTGGCTGATGTTGCCTTCCGAAAAATGCTGAATTATGCTGATTATTGCTGATCGTTGCTGCCAGCTGCTGATGCATGCTCTCTCATTTGTTTCTCTCTCTCTCTCTCTCTCTCTCTCTCTAGCTAGCTGCGGGCTGGCTGTTCTCGTTGGTACATACTGGTGTTCGCTGCTACCGCCTGCTGCTGTGTGATGAAGCGGGCTAGTGTTTCGTGCTGTTGCTGTCGCCTGCTGCTGCTGATGCTACTGATGATTTACTCACTGATGCTGCTTCCTGCTTCCGTTTGCTGCTGATGTTTGCTGGTTACGGTAAGGAACTGTTTGTTTTAATCACCTCGGGACATGACGGCTTGCTAGCACTTGAGTTCAAGCCCCGACGCTGGTTTTCCTCCTCGAGAAGGGGGAGGAGGGGGAGGAGGGGGGGGAGGAGGAGGAGGAGGAGGAGGAGGAGGAGGAGGAGGAGGAGGAGGAGGAGGAGGAGGAGGAGGAGGGCCGCTCCCCAGGCCTCCGACGATCTGATCTTTTCTATCCCTGCGTTCCTCCTCGATTTCGGCCGCGGGGGCCGGCCGTGCTCGGGCCCTGGGGCCACGAAAGAGAGATCGGGGGCGAAAGGCTGTCCCTGGGGATGGGTGGGGACCTGTAGGGCCACGCACTGACATTACACGCCGGTCGGAAGAAATAAATAAAACGATCCCGGCAAAGCAACCTAACAGCGATGTGTATAAGCATATCTGGAAGCATTCCCCTTAAGATTCAGGTGAGACTCCAGTTGTAGAATTCTGCTGTTCTCGCAGTCGCAGTCGCAGTCGCAATGACAGTCGCAGTGGCAACGGCCTTAGGATCCAATGGAATCCTAAGGATTCCTTAGGATTCCTGAGGATGCTTAACTATGCCTACGGATGGATTCCTAAGGATTCCTATGGATTCCTACGGATGCCTAAGCCTGCCTCAGTTTCAGCCTCAGCCTCAGCCTGCCTCGGCCTCAGCCTCAGCCTGCCTCAGCCTCAGCCTCAGCCTGCCTCGGCCTCAGCCTGCGTCAGCCTCAGCCTCAGCCTGCCTCAGCCTCAGCCTGCCTCAGCCTCAGCCTCAGCCTCAGCCTCAGCCTGCCTCGGCTTGCCTCAGCCTCAGCCTCAGCCTGCCTCGGCCTGCAGCTGGCCTCAGCCTGCCTCAGCCTCCCCTCCCCCCCCCCCTTCCCCCCCCATTCAGCCTCACCTTGTCTCAGCTTCGGCCTGCCTCGGCCTCATCCTCAGCCTCAGCCTCAGTCTCAGCCTGTCTCGGCCTGAGCCTGCCTCGGCCTCAGCCTCAGCCTGCCTCAGCCTCAGCCTGCCTCAGCCTCAGCCTCAGCCTGTCTCAGCCTCAGCCTGCCTCAGCATCAGCCTCAGCCTCAGCCTCAGCCTGCCTCGGCTTGCCTCGGCCTCAGCCTCAGCCTGCCTCGGCCTCAGCCTCAGCCTCAGCCTGCCTCAGCCTCAGCCTCAGCCTCAGCCTCAGCCTCAGCCTCAGCCTTCAGCCGCCTCAGCGCTCAGCCTCAGCTCAGCCTGCTCGGCTTGCCTCAGCCTCAGCCTCAGCCCTCAGTCCCTCTCAGCCTGCCTCAGCCTCAGCCTCAGCCTCAGCCTGCCTCAGCCTCAGTCTCAGCCTCAGCCTCAGCCTACCTCAGCCTCAGCCTCTGCCTCGCCTCAGCCTGCAGCCTCAGCCTCGCCTGCCTCAGCCTCAGCCTGCCTCAGCCTCAGCCTCAGCCTGCCTCGGCGTGTCTCAGCCTCAGCCTCCTCAGCCTGCCTCGGCCTCAGCCTGCCTCGGCCTCAGCCTGCCTCAGCTCGGGCATTCAAAATATGGCACAGGACTGGTGTTCTGGGAACACGAAGATCACGAAGTGGCCCACAGTTGGGTTCGGGCAATCAAAATATGGTACAGGAATGGTGTTCTGGGAACACGAAGAACACGAAGTGGCCTACAGTTGGCTCCGGGCATTCAAAATGTGGCCTGGGAATGGTGTTCTGGGAACACGAAGAACACGAAGTGACCCACAGATGGCTCCGGGCATTCAAAATGTGGGCCTGGGAAAAGTGTTCTGGGAAGACGAAAAACACGAAGTGGCCTACAGTTGGCTCCGGGCGTTCAAAATGTGGCCTGGGAATGGTGTTCTGGAAACACGAAGAACACGAAGTGGCCTACAGTTGGCTCTGGGCATTCAAAATGTGGCCTGGAAATGGTGTTCTGGGAATGGATTCACAAGGATTCCTAAGAATTCCTCAGGATTCCTAAGGATTCCTGGGGCTGCCGGGTCCTGCCGGATCCCCTGTCCGGGTCCCGCCCAGACCCCCCTGGGGAGTCAAGATGCTCTCTTTTGAGCCCACTAGAAATCTATCAGTCTTCGCTGTTAGGTAATTTAAAAAATGAAGTAGGAAGGCGGATAAAGTACATGGGTTCAGGCCCTCATAGGGAAGAACAAAACACAGCGAAAGCAGATCGATTATTGTAATAGGAAGGCGCCTGAAGTAGATTGGGATCTGGGGGTCCAAAAATACAAACTTCCTACGACCGGCGTGTACCCCAACGCCGGCACCAAATATCAAAGCAACCACATCAGCAGAGCCTGCAGAGGCCTCAGAACACGCAATCTTTATGACCAGGTCAGAACCCGTATGCTAAAGCACATAGGGGGAAATTCCGATCGGTGGATGCCAAGGTGTGAGGGCCGCATCGAGGCGCCCTGAATATCCAAGAGGCCTTCTCGCTCGCACGGGCCCTGGATCTTTTAGTTGGATGCCGACGTCTGGCTCGAACTTTGCCTCCACCATCTCGCTGAGCAACGCCAGGGTCCGCTGCCACTGGGCGCCATTCACGCACGCGATGATCGCGGCGTTGTAGCTGACAACGTCGGGCTCCACCTTCGCGTCCCGCATGTCGCCGAGCAGCGCCAGGGCCCTCTGCCACCGCCCGCGTTTCCCACACGCGCTGATCCTGGCGCAGTAGCTGACCAGTGCCCCGACGTCTGACCTCTGCTCCCACAGCTCGCCGAACAACGGCAGCATCTGCTGGAAATGGCCACTGCGCAGATTACAGCATCGTTGCTGTTAGGCTGGGCCTGTAGAAAGTGGTGGGAGCACAGGGCAAGGGGTTGATTAATCAAGAGCACATGGCTTCGCTGCAATTTGCTGCAACCCGTTGATGGTTGCTGATGATTGCCGAACTGTGTTGCCGCCGCTTGCTTGCTCTTGCTTGCTGCTGCGTGTTGCTGCGTGTTGCTGCTGCTGCTGCTGCTTCCTGGTAATGCTTGCTGCTGCTGCCGCCGCCGCAGCCGCCGCCGCCGCTGCTGCTGCTTACTTGCTTGCTTGCTTGCTTGCTTGCTTGCTTGCTTCCTTGCTTGCTTGCTTGCTTGCTTGCTTGCTTGCTTGCTTGCTTGCTTGCTTGCTTGCTTGCTTGCTTGCTCTGCTTGCTTCCGTTGCTGGCTGCTCCTAGCAGCTGCTGCTGGCTCTGCTACAGCGGCTGGCTCTGCAGCTGCTGGCTTCGCTGCTGTTAGAAGGTCTCAGGGCACGTTTGCAACGTGTGAGCCCTTCTTACCTTGACCGTTTGGCGCCTCTTTGGGGCGCTCTGGGACCATGCCTGGCCGTCAGGGGCGCGCCTTGCTGACCTATTTGGCTGCCTGGTAGCTGTCTTGAGGCCCTCTTGGGTCGCATTGGGATCTGTTTTGGAACACCGCAGACACTTTGTCAACCAGCAGCTGGCCCCCTGGCTCCGCCAGGGACGCTGCTAATGCCGACGTGGCTGCACCGCACTAAGCTCTCGAGGGAGGGGGAGAGGAAGAGGAGGAGGAAAAGGAGGAGGAAGAGCAGGAGCAGGAGGAGCAGGAGGAAAAGAGGAGGAGGACCAGTGCAAGCCCAAGAGTGACCAACGATGTTGGACTAAGCCGTCCCCCCAAGCTCTCTCTTCATAGGCCCCTACAACGGTTCATTTCCACAACAGGACCTAGGACCTGCCTCGTTGGAAGGCACCCGTTTGAAGACCCTGACGCACGCCAAAATATTACTCTCGGTATTCCAACGGCACGGATAAACTTGACTGTTGCATATTGACGATCCTGAATCGCTCCAGAACGCCATTCCTGGGATTTGTGACACCGCGAATCATCCTAACTGTTGCGCCCCCATAGTCGCGAATCCATCCAAAATACAACTTCTGGTACGTATATCATGGGAACCCGTGAAACTCGTACAAGTGTTTAACAAGAGTGTTCGCGGCGCTAAGGCGAGAGCCACATTTTGAAAAGGAACCGCCCTCAATCCGTGAAACTCTTGCAAATATTGTAAACGAATGTGCGAGGCGCTAAGGCGAGAACCACATTTTGAAAACGACCCACCCTCAAACCGTTGAATTATTGCAAGTGGTTAAAACGAATGTGCGAGGCACTAAAGCGGAAGTCACATGTTGAAAACGGGTGATCCTCAATCCGCGAAGCTCCTGTGAATTTTATAACGAATGTGCGCGGCGCTATGACGAGAGCCACATTTTGAAAACGACCAGCCCTCACTCCGCGAAAATTGTGCCAATTGTGTAAACGAATGTGCGCGGCGCTAGAGCGAGAGCCACATTTTGAAAACGGCCCGCCCTCAACCCATGAAACTCTTGCAAATGTTGTAGACGCATGTGGGGGTCGCTACGGCGAGACCCACATGTTGAAAACGACCCGCCCTCAATCCGTGAAACTCTTGCGAATGTTGTAAGTAAACGAATGTGCGTGGCGCAAAGGCGAGAGCCACATTTTGAAAACGACCCGCCCTCCATCTTGGAAACTGCTGCCAATTGTTAAACTTCAGAGTCATACGTGGCGAGGAAATCTCAAGCGAAACGCCCAGCCCGCCCGAAAAACTGGCCCCGGGGTGCGACAGGAAGAACTTACTTATAAGGAAAAGGAATGGAGGAGGAGAAGGAGGAGGAGGAGAAGGAAGAGAAGAGAACGAGAGGGAGGAGGAGGAGGAGGAGGCGGAGGAGGGGGAGGAGGACGGGGAGAGGAGGAGTGGATCATGCTGGTATCACACTGAAACGTTTGGAGGCACCTCGGGGCCCTCCAGGTGAGATCCTGCCCCGTCCCCGCGGCCCCTCGGGGCGGCCTTGAAGCCGTCTTGAGGGCTCTCCCGGGCTACCTCTGGGGCTCTCTGGGGGTTCTCCTCGTGGCCGTCTTCGGGCCGTCCTGGGGCCGCCTTGGGCCACCCACGGAGCCATCCAGAGCCCTCAGAATCACGGAAGGCAGCCGTAATGAGCCGAAGCGCCTGACAAGCGGAACGCGTGGAACATGTCAGTGAGCTGCCGCTGCCTTGGGGCCTCTATCGGAGCCTCTCCGGGCCTCGCTTGGGGCTTCTCGTGCGCCTCCGGGAGCCTGCTGGCCGGTCGGGAGGCCGTCCTCGGAGGCGCCTGCGGCCCGCCGGAGCCGCTTCATTGGAATTCCATGGGCCCCCGAAGGCGCAAGGCCCCGAAGCCGCATTGCACCTTGTTCAGAGGCATTGCGTCCAGCAACAGATCCGAGACGGCATTGCGCTCCACCTTCGCCTCCCACATGTCGCGGAGCAGCGCCAGAGCCTGCTGCCACTGCTCGCCTTTCTCGCACGCGATGATCCCGGCGCTGTAGCTGATGATGTTTGCCTCCACCTTGGACTCCAGCATCTCGCTCAGCAGCGCCAGCGCCCGCTGCCACTGCTCGCCTTTCTCGCACGCGCTGATCCCAGCGCTGTAGCTGACTAGGGCTGAGCTGACCTGTGGACTGCCGTCCACGAGATCTCACTCGCATGCACGGGTGAGGATTGCAGCGCACACAGCAAAGCCTACCTTCTAAGAGAAGAATTTTGTTGACCACGACACGGTACGGCAAACAAGAATCCGACTGGCGGCGGAGTCCGAATGGGCCAGCCCGGGCGGACAGTCGATCAGACCATCGACGTGCCGACGAATAGCGGAGTCCCTCTAGACCTGACCAAGGCCAACCATAACGGAAACGATCAAATTGTTGAAGGGGGACTTCGCGTACAACATTGCATGGCCAAGTAGATGAAAAAATGTCGCTCAGCTACCGAATCGTGTCCCCCAAGGCACTGAACAGAAATAGCACCTGCATGCCACGCCCGCCTTTATCGCCAGCGCCGAGTCCAGCTTCGCAGCTGAGGAGAGCCACTTTGGGGGCCTGTAAAGCGAGGAGGCCAACAAACCTTGAAACTAGAATGCTTTCAACGTGTGCAGCCGTCTGAGGCTGGAAAGAAGAAGAGACCGTATTTGGGCTCTTTTGGGCCGCAGTGGGGGCAGCTCGGGGCCTTCTTGGGATGTCTTGGAGCGCCACGGAGCTCTTGGACCATCTCGGGGTTGTCCTGGACTGTCTTGGAACTCTCCGCGGGATGCCCTGTTCAGTTATCCAGGGATGGGTTCGAGCTGTTATATGCATCTGTATGATGTTTGAACTATCGGAGGTGAGGGGGTGAGATCGAAGTGGAACAGAGAGCCCCCCTACCGGGAAATCGATGTCGGTTTCGTGTTCGTGCCGTGCGTGCGGGCGAGGCGAAGCTGTGTGGGCGGGGGAGAGGAAATTCTCCTGTGGCTGGGCCGCGGCCGGACCAAAAGGTTCTCCGCCCGGCAACCGGTGGCGCGCGGTGTCCCGCCAGTGTCCCGCTGGTGTGCCGCTGGTGTCCCGCCGGTGTCCCGTCGTTGTCCGTGGTGTCCAGTGGTGAGATCGACAGTGAGATCGATAGTGAGATCGATAGTGAGATCGACAATGAGACCGATAATGAGACCGATAGCGAGATCTATAGTGAGAGATCGATAGTGAGATCTATAGTGAGATCGATCGTGATATCGATAGTGAGATCGATAGTGGGATCGAGAGTGAGATCGATCGAGTGCGATCGATAGTGAGATCGATCGAGTGAGATCGATTGTGAAATCGACAATGGGATCGATAGTGAGATCGATTGAGCGAAACGTTGGTTTCTCCTCCCCCCCCCTCACCTCCTTATCACCCGAAGGGTGGTCGTATAGGTATGCATCTATTTATGTAAACGCAATTTGAGAGGGGAGGAGGGGGAGCGAACACCGCAGCACGATCACAAGCTCGGCGACGCAATTGTGAAGCCAGTGAGCTACAACAGACGCTGTGTACGCGAGTGGGATGCATGTATGTATGTTTGTATGCATGCATGCATGTTTGTTTGTGTGGTTGTTTGGTTGTTTGTATGTCTGTCTGTCTGTCTGTCTGTCTGTCTGTCTGTCTGTCTGTCTGTCTGTCTGTCTGTATGTATGTATGTATGTATGTATGTATGTATGTATGTATGCACGTATGTACGTACGTATGTGTGCATGCATGCATGTATGAATGTATGTATGTATGTACGTATGTATGCATGTATGTGTTACGTATGTGTAGGTGTGTAAATGTGTACACATGGACATGCATGTGTATACGTATTGGGGTTGCTCTGGATACGTCTTCGGCTCTCCATGGTTCTCTGAGTCCTCCTAAGGCCGCCTCGGCCGGCTTCTTGGACTGCCCTTGGCGGCCCCTTTGCGGGCTCCGGCCCGAACGTCCCAGTCCCACAATTCCCTCTTCTCGCGCGCACTGCATCAGGGCTCCAGCATCGCCTCCCAGTGCTGCCGCGGCTGCTGCTCGCTGTGTGCTGCATGCTGCTGCTGGTCGTGGTTGCAGCTTCACGCTGCAGGATGCTACTTCTCGCTGCTCTTGCTAACTGACGCAGGCAGCTGCTCGCGAGAAGACCGAAGCGCGAGGAGCAAGCGGGGAGGAGGTGTGATCGAAGAGGGGGGAGGGAGAAGCGGGGAGCGATCCTCGAGCAGAGAGGAGCAAGGAGCGGGAAGAGAGGAGGGACTGTCAAGGGGAGAAGTTGAGAGAAAGGGTGAGGGAGAGCCGAGGAGGCAAGAGGAGGGTACGAGTAGGCAAGAGGGAGACGCACGGAACCAGGAGAGAGCTGTGATGGGGCGAGGAGCAGCGAGGGGGAGCGAGGAGAGAAGGGCAAGGGGGGAGGCGAGAGCGGCGCGGAGCAGAGGAGCAGTGGGTGGTGGTCTGATTTTTGGGGGGGTCGGATTTGAGCTGTCATGGAGGGTTCTGGTGGGGTATGGGCAGAAGGCCGCCCTTGCATGGCTGGTCTCAGGGGGGGGGGTCTAAAGCTGCTCGTCTAGGAGGGTTGTGACCCCCTCCCTTCTGTTACAAAGATTTGGAATAGTGGTGAGGAATGAGAAGCGTTAGGTCGGGCGTGTCCCCCTACAGGGGGATTTGGGGCGAAAAAATATTCTAAAATATACCAAAAATATGCCCAACTAGACTCAAAACATAGTCCCCAGACTATTTCCTGACTGTGTTTGAAGTTGCCTCCTGTAGAGGGACACGCCCGACTTGGGAGAAGCGAGGAAGGGAGGCTTGAGAAGCGGCAAGCACACTAACCTCCGAGTGGCCTCGGCGCGCGCGTGGCCGAACACACACACACACACACACACACACACACACACACACACACACACGCACGCACGCACGCACGCACGCACGCACGCACGCACGCACGCACGCACGCACGCACACAAACACAGACACAGACACAGACACAGACACAGACACGGACTCAGACACAGACACAGACACAGACACAGACACACACACACACACACACACACACACAAACACACACACACAGTCTCCTCTTGGGCCGCTCACGGGCTTGTGGGGCCAAATTGGGGCCTTCGCGGGCTCACTCGAGACCCTCCCGCGCCTCCTGGCGCCATCCGGGTGTCCTCTGGAGCCTCTGTGTGCTGCTGCGGGGGGTCCGGTGGCGCTCGGGGCGTGCGTTGGGACCATCTTCAGGCGATCTCGGGACGTCCTGGGGCCATCTTGGAGGCCAGCAGGGTCCATCTGGGGCCCTTATGATGGCCATTGGGGACCGCAAGAGCCCTTTTCGAGGTGCCTAGAGCCCGGTGCGGAGTGATCCAGCGCCGAGGGGAGGAGTGGTGAAGACGCACAAAGAACCTTGGGCATTTACTATTTTCGCCCGTGGGGGTTCGGCGGAGCCACCTCGGCGCCGTCTTGGGGCGTCCTGGGGGCTGTGTTGGGCTCACTGAGGCCCTCCGAGAACTCTCCTACAGCCCACCCGTGGGGGAACATGTTGGGAGCGCTCGGAAGCGTCCGGGACCCTCAGGACTGCCAGGAGGCTCCTACGGCTGTCCAGAGGCTCCGAGGGGCCATTCGGGACAAGACCCTCCTGCCACGCGGGGGCTCCTGGATTGTAACAGGGACTAGTGTAGACTGTGGATGAAAAGTCCATACACAGGCTAGCAGCTGAGCGTGCTTACCTGGAATTTGGTGACAGCAGGTGGTCTCATAGTCTCGGGGACTGTACACTGACCGTTTTGGTCTCACTGACTCGGGATCTCTGCACAGATTGGGGATAGTCGGGAGAGCTCTTGGGACTATGTTGGGGAATGTTAGGGGGGCCCTCTTGGGCCACCGTATGCCCTCTCGGGGCTACCTGAGCGTCACTGGGGGCTTCTGAGTGGTTGCTCGGGGCGTCTGCGTCGCCATCTCTGGGCTCTCTTGAAGGAGCTTGCGGGCCTCTTCGGCGATGCCCAGAGCCTGTGCAGCCCATCTGCACACGTTCCTGTGAGGCAAGATGGAGCACTCCAGAAATTATGTTTGAAAAACAGATGTCAATGCTTTCGAGCTTCGTAGAGGGTCTCGCGGCTCATCTCGGGCCGTGCGGACCTCTCTCGAGGCCATCCTAAAGCCCACGGACGTCTGGTGACCGTCGTGGAAGCCTCTGGAGCCATCTCGAAGCCCCCTCGCGGAGCGCGTGGACCTTCCGAGGGCGCTCCCGCGGACCTCCCTACGGGGCCAGCTCCCGGGCCCCTCCAGGGCCATCTGCGGGCCGATGGCTCCCTCGAGAGCGGGGACACTGCTCGCGGAACTCGCACGCGCGGCAGCCGGCATGGATCGGCGGCGCGCCCAGGGGGGAAGCGAGAGAGGGGCAGGCCTGCTCCGAAGGCGGCGGGCCTTCCAAGAAATCATCTGTCGGCTCGGAGGGCGCCTGCACGCCACCCGACGAGGCAAAACGAAACCCTGGGAAATCACTGGCACACAGCGCGAAGAAGTACAGAGGGGGAGCAACGACGATTCGGAAATGTACCGATGCTTGGAGTCACCCCACGATGGATCAGCATCTCCACCACAATGCACCCACGTCGTGGTTTTGGCGCGAGCCGCACGGCGATATACTATACCGTGCGGACAAGGAGAAGAGGCCTGAGGTCTCCTGAGCCTTCTGAGAAGACCCGCTCCCTCTGCCTTCCAGGCTGGGCTGCTCGCAGAACTCGCACGTGCGACACCTGGCATCTTAGGAAGCAACTCCTGGGAGGTCTTCGACTTAACCATCAAGACCTATATCAGACCGGATTAAGGGGCAGATTGAACTTAGGACTAAGCTTAATGAAGCTGGACTAAACAGTTAAGCGGGATTGAACAGGATTAGGCTGGATACGGCTGGTTTTCGGCCACGGATACACCAGTGCCGAAGCTGAATGTGACCTCCCAGGAGTTGCATCCTAAGGTAGAGGAGGTGGTGTTGGGGTCGAACTTTGCTTCCCGCATCTCTCTGAGCAGCGCCAGAGCCCACAGCCACTGTCCGCACGTCTCGCACGCGCTGATCCCAGCGTTGTAGCTGACTGAAAGGTAAAGCCCGTGGGTTGAGCCGACGGCAGGCAGGTGCAATCCCAGACATGCTGTCGCTGCGAGGAACTCACGACGGACGGTGTTTGGCAGTGCTCGCCCCGGGGGGCGCTCGCCAGGCCCCTCACAGAATTGCGCGCGATGAAGGATCAGCCCCAGATGCAGGGTCCGGACTTCCAGAGACCCCGCACTGAAAACCAAGGCAGCGCATGCGTGGGCAAGGTGAACGAATAGATTGCACCTACGACAGGCAGGTGCAAGTGAAGGGGCCCAGAGACACACACACACACACAATAAATGGACGCAGATCCCAGGAGCCCCCATATTTTCCCATATCCTCTGGACGTTCGTCTTCCCTCCACTTCCCAGGTGTTCCCACATGTTCTTGGGAATCGACGACTGGTTGTGTCCGTTGTGTCCCAACCATCCTGTTGCGTTGCGTCCTCGTTTTGAAGAGAGACAGCGCCCCGCGTTCCTCCTCACTCCTCCTCCCCCTCCTCCCTCCTCCCGTCGTCGTCATCACCGTCATCATCATCATTAACATCATGGCCGTCACCATCACCTTCATCGTCATCATCATCGCGGTCATCATCACCACCATCGCCACCAGCTTCGGCACACCCCTCACACGTTCCGTGGCCCCATAGGGAGCTCCACCGAAGGACCCGGCAGCTGCGTCCACATGCGTCCCGCGCCTATTCCAGCACGCGCCTCACACGTTTCGTGGCCCCATCGGGAGCTTCACCGAAGGCCGCAGTGGCTGCGTCCACATGCGTCCCGCGCCCCTTTCGGCACACCCTTCACACGCTCCGTGGCCCCATAGGGAGCTCCGCCAAAGATCCCGAAGGCTGCGTCCACATGCATCCCGCGCCGCTTTCGGCACAGCCCTCACACGCTTGGTGGCCCCATAGGGAGCTCCACCGAAGGCCCCAAAGGCTGCGTCCACATGCGTCCCGCGCCTATTCCAGCACACGCCTCACACGCTTCGTGGCCCCATAGGGAGCTCCACCGAAGGCCCCGAAGGCTGCGTCCACATGCGTCTCGCGCCCATTTCGGCACTCCCCTCACAAGCTCCGTGGCCTCATAGGGAGCTCCGCCGAAGGCCCCAGTGGCTACGTCCACTCGGTGAGCCACGAAACGCTGTACTGGGTGGAGGTCCCGCATGCGAGAGCAGCAGCTGGGGCATTCAGTGGAGATCCCTATCGGGTCACGAAGCGCTGTACTGGGTGGGGGTCTCGCATGCGAGAGCAGCCGCTCGGGCCTTCGGTGGAGCTCCCAAAGGGGCCACGAAACGCTGTACTGGGCGGGGGTGACACATACTGATGAGGGCAGAGGCAAGGGGGAGGAGAAGGAAGGCGGGAGGTGACGCATGAGGATGTCTCTTCAAAACGAGGACCCCACACTACAGGATGATTGGGAAATATTTCCACGAAGAAATGGTTCTCTGGGCCAACAAGGCTAGACTGATGCGAAATCCACTGCGGCGCCTTTTGGGGAGCGCACCTCGGCTTGCGAGATTGAAAGTCGACAGAAGTCTGAAGATCAGTGACCACGTCCCACGAGGAGAAGAAACTCTCTGCCCAGAATCGCCAGAAGCCCACCTGGATCCAGAGGTCCGTCCGGAGGACCATCCCTTTTCCCGGGGAACCAACCCGTTCCCGGAGGACAGCCCCCTCGCGTTGTCCACCACCGCCACCTCCTGGGTGTCTTCGAAGCAGGGGCGGACGCTCGAGGATGAAGTGCATCGGTGTCGGCGGCAGTGCGATCTGTGAGCGCAGCAGCTTGGCTGAGACAAAACTGCCAGAAGATTTGACAATGGGTGTGGCCTGCAAGGGCCAGTCCGAAGGCTCTGGACTGACGCGGCGGGGCTCTTGTCGGGGGCGCGCGAACATGGATTGGCGATCCATGGACCTGGCGCGCGGTCGCCAAATCCATGGATCGGGGGAGGTGCCATTCCAAAAATGTGGCTGGTGCCGCTTCGCTCGGCGACGGAAATCCGCAATTTCCCATGGAAAAGGGATCCGTCACTAATCCACGCCCCCTAATCCATATTTGCAATCGCCTGATCTTAGCAGACCGTCTCCTCCTCGCCCCCACCCCTTCTCCTCGTCCTCCTCCTCCTCCTCCTCCTCCTCCTCCTCCTCCTCCTCCTCCTCCTCCTCCTTCCCCTTCCCCTAATCCTCCTCTGTCCTCTTCCTCTTTCTTCCTCCTCCTGCTCTTTCTTCCTCCTCCCCGTTCCGGCTTCCTCCTCTTGCTCCGCCTTCGCCTGTTCCGCCTCCTCTTCTCCTCCTCCAGCTCCTCTTCCGAACCCCCTTCCTCTTAGTCCTACTCCTCCTACTCTTCTTTCTGTCATTACTCCTCCTGGCCTCCTCCACTCCGTTGCCTCCTCTGATCCTCCTCCGTCCTCCTCCTTTCCTCCCCCCTCAACAAATATCCAACAACATGCGCAATATGATTACTGTTCTCCGCTCTCCCCTGATAGTGTGCCGATGTGCGTCCGCGTCTCCTGTGTAGTGTTTTCAAACTCATGATTGCGTTAATTGGTGGTCCGTTCCGTAGGTTCCAATGGAAATGTTTACGGCCCTTCAAAAAATGGTGTTACTTGCCGCTGCATTTCTGGCAGCACGTCAGGATCGGCGTTTTGCTCCCGTCGTTCAGAATTGCGGTGTCGTCCTCCGCATTCCCGATCTCCTCTTGCTCCTCCTGCTCTTCCTGCTCTTGTTGCTTATGCTGCTCTTCATCCTCCTTCCCCTCCTCCTCCTCCTCCTCCTTCTCCTCCTCCTCCTCCTCCTCCTCCTCCTCCTCCTCCTCTCTTCCTCTCCTCCTCCTCCGCCTCCTCCTCCTCCTCTCCTCCTCCTCCTCCTTCCTCCTCCTCCTCCTCCTCCTCCTCCTCCTCCTCCTCCTCCCCCCTCTCATCCTCCTTCTTCTCGTCCATTCTCATCGGATTGCCCTTCATTCTGCTCGTCCTCCGCCTTATCCACCTCATCTTCCTCCTCCAGCCCACCTCCCTTCACTTGTGGTTGCGCATCGCGCGATGAGGTCATTTCAGTCGCCACGGTGCGCTGGGACTTTAGAGCTGCGGGATGAGGTTGGTGGGAAGCGCCTGCTGTCGGATCTGGCGAGAGCGCACCTGCCGTGATACGCGTACAGTCGGACTTGATCGGACGGGACACTCGAGAGGACGCGAGACTCTTCTGATGGCAACGTGGCCCCAGAATACCAAGAGACATGTGGGCTGCACAAGCGCCCCCGCCTCTCCCGCGCATGGTCTGTGCGCGCGTACACACACGGGACATCAGAGATTGAGATCGTATGTGCATGATTTGCTCGGAGCGTATCCAGCCCTCGCGAAGAGGTGCCCCCGCTGCAGCGAGGGCCACAGTTCAGGATCCGTAATGTACCTCCGTCGTTCAGAACGGCGCTCACGCCCCCGCGCGGGCCACACTTCTGGATCCAAGTCCTTCCTCGTCGTTGCCGTCGCCTTCCTTTCCCCTCCTCCACCTTCCCCCGATGCTTATGATCCTCCTACTCGTCCTGCTCATCATCCACCTGCTCCACCTTCTTCTCCTCATCCTCCTCCATCTCCTCCTCCTCCTACTCCACCTCCTCCTTCTCCTCCTGCTCCTCCTTCCTCGTGCTCATCATCCTGCTCACCCGCCTCCTCCTCCTCCTCATCGTCCTCCCAGTCTGCGGATATCGAAGGGCTGATCACACTGAGGCCACGGGCGCGAGAGCACATAGTTTGTCTCATTCCCCTCTCCCCTCTCCTCCCCTCTCCTCCCCTCTCCTCCCC